AACACACATGCACAGATGTGCACACCAGGGCATTAGTCACTCACTGGTCTTGTACGGCCATGTCCTGGGGCAGTGAAAGGCTGCACCTCTCCATCACCATCATCTTCCTTCATTACTATTGCTGATGTTTCAGGCCCCTTGGTGTTCAGCTGTGTTCAGGAGCAAAGGAAGACAAGCCAGGAACAGTCAAAGATTAAAATGTGACCAGGTCTCTTTTTATTGAACAAACTTTAAGAAGTTATTTTTTCCATAGCTAATTTTTAAATGGTTAAACCACACTGGTTACAAAGTATTCAATTAAAAATAAAGATGTTTTTCTGAAATATGGAAAAGTAAATAAACATATATGATAAATATTCTTGAGTACTATATTTAGAAATATTAAATATTTCTTTACCTGTTATTTTATTTTTTTAAACAATTTTTTAAGTTGTTAATGATCCTTTATTTTATTTATTTGTATGTGGTGCTGAGAATCCAACCTAGTGCCTCATGCATGTCAGACAAGCGCAGAACCACTGAGCCACAACCCCAGCCCTACATCTTTTTTTTGAAATTTGAAAAAAAAAAAAAAACGGATCTTTTCTGGTAACCTCAATTAGAGCAAGTAGTATAAGAAATACATCATCAACTTACTGCTGGTGTTCCAGAAGGGAAGCAATCCTTCTCTGAAAATGAATAGGAAGGGAATATTAACAATTCACCAGAGAAAACTTTTCTATGAAAAAAAGAAAAATAATATAAAAGAGGAGCTAGTGAAATGTGTTATAATTGGTTTCATTTTAAGTTTAATTACTTCTCTAGATATATGAGAGTAATAGTAACATAAAAATACTAATTTAATAAGACTAAGCTACTAACTCTATAATCTTAAGGAAACCTTAAAAATACATTTTGTAAAACCTGAATTGATCTTTCAAATGATTGGATTTCATGGTATGTAAATTATACTTCAATCAAGTTATTAAAATGTAATGGAGCCCTGGCCTGGTATTTCCATGCCTGTAATCCAAT